AAATGAGAGATGGAAACACATTTGCCGAATAAGTTCAGAAATTTAAAAAAAATTGCTAAAAATTTGAATTAAAATTGGATGGAAACAACTAAGGTCACTGCTACGATTGAAAAAAAAACGGTGCTTCCATATGTTGTTGTAAAGGCAACTCAGGTGCAACCAGTAACTCCACCCCCTAGCCAATCAGTGACGAACAGTATTCTGACGTCACATTTTGGTATTGACTGGGACGACTTGGAACCACAACAAAGTAGGTACTAAAATAAGGGCCAGTTCCRTGAATCTGGCCTAATAGAAATGGCTTGGAACCGTACYAACACTACAGGGCCATAAAATATATATAAGCCAAATTAACCACCATGGTAGAAAAACAGGATTGACACAAAAAGGTAAAACTGACCAATGGGTCCCATCTGATTGTTGAAGATGTTGGGGACTTCATGACCCTCATTCTTCTTTCTGCCCAGATCTGAGGGGTCCTGATGCAACTCATCAACYCCACTTTTGTGAGGAGGTGTGGCTCCTAGGGTCATAGGCCCGGGAGGAAAACCTGGAAGAGTGATGAAAGGCATTAAGATGTTTTCATCCAGGTTCTGTTTGTTATAATCCCAGTTCTGTTTGCCCTACACTAAACATATTAAAGTCTACTGCACTTCTTTCATCATCCATATGATAGATGTATGTTGCAATACCTGGAGGCATTTGCAAGGGGTTAAATCCAGGTCTGATAAAAGGAGGAGGGGGCATGCCCGGTGTAAAGGTAGGYGGTGGCATTCCGATGGGACTGGGAAAGAGAGGAGGTGGTAAAGAGCCCACACCCACCATTGGCTGCAGCATTGGAGGAACCTGTGGACAATTATAAAATGGTACTGTAGGCAAATGAAAAAGTTGTGCTTTTTAGTGGCATAAGAGTCAAAATTTCTGTTTCAATTAACCGCTAAGATGGGTTAACTTAATACACTGCTTTAGCAGCTTTTATCTATTTATCTTTAAATACATGCTGCAATTGGAGAAATTTATTATACTCGTCACAACTTTTATTGGTTATCTACCTGTGCTGGAGGAGCAGCTAAAGATTGAGCTCGAGTCTCGTCTGCCTGCTGCTGCTCAGAACGGCCATTGTGAGTGGGTTCTTCTAGGTGATCAAAGGTCTTTCGCACACTGCTCCACTCTAGAAAGAAAATTTCAGGGAATATTACTACACAATTAAGCAAATTCAAAGTTGACAATGCTTACATTATTTGTTTAATCAAAAGGAATACAAAGCATTTTCTTTGTGAGATTAGCAACATCACACAACAATAACCCTGTCATTTTTTTTAAATTAAATGTGTTCATTAGGGGGAAAAGTCTAATAATTTGTTGAGGAGATCCTCTCAATTCAAAAGAGATTTGCCAATTAATTAACAATTATTGCCTARGCCAATTTTCTTCTAGTTAAATGTTTTTACCTGGTGATAAAGTATCTCCATCCAGCATTCCTCCTTCTTTCARCTCCTCTAACTGGTCCTCTCTGACTTTAGACCAAGGTACGTAGGTGACACCCAGATCGACATCCCAGTACTGTTTAAACTCTGGCTTTATGCCCTTGTTTAAAGCCCAAGCAATCTGGCAAGAAACCAAATAAAATACAATTAAATAACCAGAAAATTGTTTCAATTTGTTTCCTAACACTTTTTGACATATTAATAGATAACAATCCATAATGATTACACACCTTGATTGCTTTCTGATTAACTTTATACAATCCTCTCCCGAGCTTCTGCAGAGCTCTGTAAGCATCTTCCCTGTGTATCATGACAATGTAAGCACAGCCACGCGGAGGAATCATCTTAATAGAAAGAGACAACATGGGCATTTTAAGCAGTGGGACACAAGTTAATATCTTCGTTCTTTGGTATCATACATTAATKCTTTACTTACATTGATGGATTCTATTTGCCCAAACTCCTCAAGCAAGGAAGCAACATCTTGCTGCTGTGTTCTTTTATCCAGCTGACCCACCCAGAGAGTTGTACTACAAACTGGAAAATGCAGAGGGAAAAGTTTATGAACAAAGAAGAAAAAAACATGAAACAATAAAAAAAGGAGAAACTTAAAAGACAATTTTATCCTTTAAACAAAGGAAAAGAAGAGCAACACAGCTGTAAACAGAATATGACTCACTGCTGACTGTGTCGCTCTTGGACGGTGGAAGACCTTTCTGACGTCGCTCTCTCTCGCGCTCCCTCTCCCTGCGCTCCTGCGAGCGAGAGCGGGGTGAAGTGTGACGGCGGTCTTTGGAGCGTGAGCGGGATCGCCTGAACCTGGACCGTCGAGTACGAGAATTGGAGCGGGACCGCCTCCTCTTTGGAGATCTGGTTAAAAATTAAAAAGTCAAACCATGTTTTACAAAAACGTGCTACGAGAACGTTATGAAAGGAAAGCAATATGATGGGGAGAAAAATGATACGAATGAAGAAATCATTTTTTCAGATTCTTACCTGGAGCCTGAGTGAGACCTTCGACCGTGTCGTCCATCTCTCATTGCTGAATGGTCCATTTCCACAGAGGAATCCTGGTAGACACACAGGAGGCATACTGTGATATACTGCCAGCTTAAGAACAATCAAACTTACATCCTTAATTACAACTAAATGTTATTTGTAAATACAATAGATATATAAAAATTGGCAACTTTTATTCTCTTAAATTGATGTGTGTATTTTATACTTGGTTTTAGCCAACCTGTTGTTGCTGTGGTGCATTTTGGGGAGGATATACCCCTAGGAAACCTGGAGGTCCAGTGGATCCAGGAAGAGGCTGCCCTGGTGGAGCATGGCCTATAGGGGGCATCCCAATAGGGAAGCTTTGTCCTGGCATTACACCACAAGCATGGAGCTGTCCATTAGGAGGCAAAGAAACCTGAAAAGGACAAATATAATTATATTGTGCTCAACATTTATCACAGCGGTTCATTCGAAAAATCACAAGGTAACTAAAGATATACAGAAGGCAACTTGTTTCTCCAGATGCAGGATGAATCTGTCCAGCTGACAGAAGAATAATTTTCTACTAATGCTAAAGAGAGGAACAGCAGCTAAGCGGTAGGGGGGTATGACACTGAGATTAGCTTTTCTATCAGATTTCCCCAGTTCATCACATTGAAACACCACCCAGGAATACTTGGTTAAACATCATGGCACACACTATTTTACATTTCACAACAATACAGTATGTCAAAACTATATATAAAAGTTGATCAGCAAGTGACCCAAAATAATCAGAGTATTGCTGACTGACATCTGAAAAACAAATCTGATCAAAACATTTTGCACCAATAAGAACTAAAAGAATATTAAACATCTTTGTTAGAAAGACAGAGTGTCTACTCATTACCTGATGAGCGAGATCTTGTGAAATATTCATCATTTGTGTGTTAAAGTGCTCCGTGTGCTGAGGAAAGGCAGGAGGCTGTTGCATACTGTGACAGTAAAAACACACTGTAAATATTCAGACTTGTTTCATTTTTACAAGACTAAATCTCAAATAATCCACTTGTAATCACTTTGGTGTATTATTTACACCAGAGCTGGACTTACAAAGGAGGCTGTGAGGAGGTCTCATCCTTCTTAGGTTCTTCTCCAACTTCTGGTTCATCATCATAGTCAAAACGATCCAGAAGCTTCTAGGACAAACAAAATGCTTAGACCTGTTTCTTATAAACTACTAATAATCCAAACATTACAAACAACTAATCTGTGATACTTGCAGCTACTGTGCATTCTGGTGCACATAAAAAAAAACACTGTCACCTTGTCAAAAGCTGATTTCTGCTGGGCAGACTCTGTTTGGAGGGGAGGTTGTGGGGAGGGAACCAGAGCTTGTGGCACGACTGTGCTCAGACCAGCAGAGACGTTTCGGACTGGTGTATGAACAGAAGGTGCGGGAGGCTGCGGATTGGTTTCAGGCTTCATTGGCTGCTGCTGAAAGTTCTGGAGCATCTGTTGAAGCTACAACCAGCAGATGTAAAAAAATACAGTTATAAAAAAATGGCAGCGACAATAAATGCATTTGACTAACGTGGATCTGTATTAACGCACACGTACCTGCTGACCCTGTGTGGACTGGAAGAGCTGTGCCACAGCTGCAAAGGCATCAGAATTGTGCAGCTGAGGAACTGATGTTGTGGTAGAGTTGGCTGTTACCACAGTAACTGGCTCTTTGGCAGGAGGTGGTGAGGAACCTGAATAAAGAGACACAGCTGGAGTGTCTGCACCATAAAAACGCTTTTAAATGTCAGCATCTCCCACCAAATCCTCAGCAGCACATTACAGCACACATTAAAAACATGTTTACCAGCTTTAAAGATGAGCAAACTCAGTTTCCTGAAGAAAATGAACCAAGTTTCACCTGTAAACCCGCATTTCTGTTTGTTTTGAAATAATAAACAGCTGTACAACGATCACAATCACACAAATTACCAGGCTCGTCTGTGTTTATGATGGATGAGGCACCACTGCCAGAGCCAGCTGCCATGTCCAGGAGCGGCTGAATAACTTCGATCTTAAACACACCATTCTTCTGCCACAGATTCAAAACTCGCACTATCTTGCTCTACAGATGAAAGTACGAAAACACAAGAAAATTCACTAAATCAGGCTCAAATATTCCAGATTAAAATCCCCACCTGTTCTATCAGTTCTTACCCTGTCTTCTATGGGGCAAAGGCAAAGATTCTCGAAGGTTCCTGTAATGTTTTTGGTGAACCTTGGACCAAATACATCTTTGTCTGGTCCAAACTGGTGTCTGGACTGTCTGACGATGGAATCCACCACATACAGACCTGCCACCTTATACTCAGGCTTACACTGGAGGAAGCAGACAAGAGGAAAAATAACATTTAAGATTTTAATGCTTCTCAGTGATAAGCTTGATTGTATATCTTAATTTAAACAACAAAAAAAAAAGTTGGGCTTACCTTTTTGATAAACTTTTCAACAATCTGGACCACATGTTTGTAGAGCTGAGGATAAAGAGGACCARGTAAATGTATTTTTATAAAAGCTGAAAATTTAAATAACTTTWAAAACAGAGGATATAAATAAAATAAAGACTTTAAATGAACAAAGAGGTAAACTCATTCTTACTTTCATAGCTTTGATGGCTGATTTAGTGATGGAGATCATCTTTGCCCGAGATATTGGTGGTTTGGTGTCCATCAGTGAAAATAACTGCACAAAGTAAAGAATGTAAACGGATGAGATAGAGCATGAAAAATGGAAAAGATTAGCTTAACAGCTGGGTTGTTTTTCCACTGAAGTGGTTCTTCAGAGACTAACACTGATTTATATCAAAATAAAATCCTTAAATGTCCTTGCCTTCATAGGAACAAGTGGTGGCTCYAACATGATACATACATGATCTAACAAGATGAATGTCCCAGTTTATACAGAGCATTGATTGTCTAAATGAATTGTACTGAATGAGCACCACATTTAAAAGTAAGAGGCACACACCACAGACGGAAAAATAARCAGGTAAAGAAATCTGCATGGTCCACCTGAAGTCTCTCATTGCCACAGTTGTATGATGAAAATTGCATCACTCAGTTTGCAGCTTCAAGTCTCCCGTCCCCTTTTGTCACAACCCGCCAGGACAACCTTTCAACTCCYTCCACATAAAAAAATATTGGTTATCTGTGAATGATCAGAAGCTTGTGGCTGTGTTTGGTGAGGTTGAAAGTGCTTGGATGCTGCATTTTGCTTTAACCACTCAATCCCCACCCACCTCCAATAAATAAATAAATAAATTTAAATTAAATTAAAGTAAAAATACTCTGTTCCAGATTCCGACTGTTGTAGCCAGAAGCAGACATTTATAAAAAGAGTCAAAAGGCCGAAACACATGGGTGGAGATAAAACAAGCACTGTGCATGGAGGAATCTATCTGCAGAAACGTGTGGCGCTTTAAACAGGACAGATTTGTGGAAAAATAAGAGCGGATCAGAGTGTAGACTCCAGCAGGAAGAAACCTCCTGCAGTGACGTATACCGCAGTGTGAGAGATGTTTCAGGAAAACGGTGAGGTGTGTATCAGGGGCTATGAACGGTGTGTACGAAAACGACCGCTGAACAACCACAYGATGGTGTGTCGACTGTTTGGAAACATTTATAATGAAAAAAAACTTTACCATCTACAAAAAGTGGGTACAACATGCCTTCTTTTCATATGTTTAACATCTCAACTTGGCATCTGAAAAGATAATTTCCTCTCGTATAGAAATAAAATAATTGAAAGTGAGAATTTAAGAAAACGAAACCACAAAACACGAGGAGGTAAAGTCTGGTGCTTTGCACTTACAAACTTGCTCTAGCTTTCTTATAGCCTGAAGGGGAGTTTTGACCCAAAGATATTACTATGAACCTTTATTCCTTCAATTTTATTCAAAMGAGCTTTCCAAGAATACTTTGACTGTTTAGTTGCATTTCCACCAAGATCTAAGAAAGATAAAGGTAGATTGGACACATTAAATCAGAGGATGTGTGTTGTCATTACTGCTTATGCAATTGCCTAAAATAAAAAACAAGAAGTGCACAGTGACAACAACTTCTTAATTTGTTCACCTTGTTGTACAATGGTAATGCTAGCTAATAATACTAATGTGCAATATAAATACTTATTGCTTGCAAAAAAYATTTTAACCCAGTCATGAACACTCATTCAGCTGGGTCTCTGGCAGCAGAGAGATAAAACAAGTGATTTTGTTTATGTTGTGCTGTTATGTCTCCAGCTGTTACACGACACCATAAACTTAAATTGCACTGACAGGTGGTGATTTACGATAGCTTGTCCTCAAATCAAGAAATGCTTGGCTCTCAATTTTCCAAAAGCAAAAAAGTGATGCTCTCCTTATCCTTTCTATCCGGCCATCGCCCGTCTGACTTATAAAGAATGCACCAACATCCAGTGTTGTGTTTCCATTAGTTTCCCAGCCACACTGAAAACAAAACTAAGCATGTCACCTGCTACACATAGACACCAATGTTACAGCAAAACTGTGTGCATGATTTCAAACAGATTCTTAGCACAAATGTTATTTCTGACCTGTGATGGACTCCACAGATATGACTAAAAAATACAAAAAAAGCGAGATCCAGGGAATGCCCCGCCCACAACAGAGCCACACCCCCAAAGATTAGTCTCAAAAAACACCAAATCCTTAAAATGTCTCCTACTGAACTCGGTCTTACTTCTGATTTTAGTGTGGAAATGCCATTTATGTCTCTTTTCGTGAGACAACCAACCAAAATAATCAAAATTTAGTAACATATTTAAACATTCACTACATTTTTTATTTGAGAAATCTTCCACTAATTACTGCTTATTAATAACTTTATTGCAACATATGTGTCGGACAGAAAAAACATTAAAATGTTACCGTACTTCTAAAAATTGTATTCACTTTGGAGTGCTGAAAGACTAACTGGAGGGTGTCAAATCACTGTTTATAAATCAGGCAAAATAGATTGTGCTATATATAAACTTTTAAATATATGTTCTCTAATATTTAAATAAATAAAAATACTGACAGAAACCTGGAAAAGAAAARGGAATCCACGACCTGTTTTGATTGGAAGTATGTTGACGATAAATCCACGGGCCTTAGCTTAGCTTAGCTTAGCCTCCCTCCTCCTTTACAAACACATGCTCTGCATAAAACACTGAAACTGCAATAAAGACCTGCAATTGTGGCTGTGGCACTTTATTTTAATTCAATGCATGTTTACTGCAGGTAGCACACCATGATGCTGGCAATCAGAACTTACTCCTACTAGCTAACATCTCGACGGAAAACAGTCAAATTGCAATTGACTGACGCGTGTTAGCTTGCAACAACAATCTAGAAAATCATGTCAATCGATTCAGTATCATTACTTAAGCTGCAGTAGTAAAACATACATCTAAATTATTCAGACTAAAGTCGAAGATGATGTGCAGCTAACTAGGGCCTCAAGGCCGACCTGCTGGGCTAGCCTACACCGCATCAGCGACACCACCATGACCAGAACCTCCAGACACGGTGAGTTCAGGCTCTCCGTAAACAACTTACCTCCTGGTTAAATGCGTTGACGGCCTCCATGATCACCAGGCGTCCCAGGGTTTGCCCCTGACTCCCAAATTTCTGATTACAGCGATGTATATTCGAGGAAGGGTCGGTACAACATGTCCGCTCCCGGTAGCTAACACCAGTTAGCCTCGCATTGGCTGCTTTCGGGTCGGCGGGCACGGCAAAGCATGATGGGATTCAATGTTGTTATTCTTGGTTCTGTCCACTGGGTGGCGCAGTGAGTAYACTTTTTGCAATATCTTGCACTATTTTTSAAAACATTTTGGGATAGTTTTTTATTTTWTTTWWTWWWTTTTTTATTGGAGGAGAATAATCAWTTYATCAATATCCTTTTTAGATTTTAAAATAGTTAAATCTTATAATGATGGACAAAAACGTTCCTTTTGGTCCAACTTTTTTCATGAGTGTGCCAAAACTTAACTAATGTTTACTGTATTTTTTAATTATTTAGCCTTGCAAAGAGATTCTTTGATTTTGATTTGATTTATTTATAAACACAAATAAAAAAAATTCAATACAACAATTATTTAAAAATAATACTGCATGTGCAAGGAAGTGGTAGAAGCCTGAATGGGCTTAAATAAAATAAAATAAAAACACTCCCAATCAAATCAGACTATAGACTGAAACTGCTCAACTCACAAAAAGCACAATGTCTTTATGAATGTATTGAGAAATTATATTTTAATGTGGCTCCAGTTGATATTTAGGTTTTTATTGTATTGTTTGAATTGTACCCATGTGACTTTGTTTTTTATGTTCTTCACTCTGTAAAATATCTGTTAAAAAGGGCATACATCTGCAGCCTTTACAACCAAGCAATTTATTCTTTAGATTAAAGCTTATTTAGATTGTTTAGAGACTTTAGTTGATATTTAATTTGATTTTCTTCAACAGTGGCTTTCTCTTTGCCACTTAATGCTTAGACTGGTGAAGAACCCAGACTCTCCCATCTCACCTGCTGAAGCTTGTAAAACTTTCAGAGTGGTCACAAGGGTCTTGGTGGTCTCTTTCGTGCACGGTTACTCATTTTGTGAGGACGGCCCGCTCTTTGTTTACACATTTTCCCAGTGGTGGGCACCGTTCCCCTAAAGCCCTAATAGGGGAACTAATTTCCTGATTAGTGCTTTAGGGCTTTTGCTAATTTCTTAATTTGTTAGTGGATTAGCACTTGCTAAATTTTTGGGCTATATTTATAAGAACTAATTAACTTTTTTGCTTCCCGACCACAAAATAACAGTTGCAGACACTCGTGACCCCAGATATGACTTGTTTACTTAGCAAATTTTAATAATAACGCTGTTAAACATGGGAATAAACAAACCTAGTCACTATGATACAAATTTTTATTCATTTATGATTTCAAAAAATTTTAATAATCATGAAAATATTCCATTAGCATTTTTTGCATTTAAACTGATGTCTGGAAATCGTCTGGGGACCCTCGTTTGATGTTTTGTGACCCACAAAGAGGTCCTGACCCCAACTTTGGGAACCACCACACAAGATGAAAAAYTAACAATATGCTGCACACAGAAAATATTGTCTCATGTTGACTCTAATGAACGTTCCATGGGTCAGATAGGTTTTTAGTGCTTTAGAATTAGCTTTTTCTAAATTTATATGTGTGTTAGTGCTTTAGAATTAGGGGACCTAAATATTAAAGTTAGTGCTTTAGGGTTAGTGCAACTAATTTTTAGATTAGTGCTGCCCACCTCTGCATTTTCCATATCTTTCAATTTCTTTATGATGAATTTAATAGAGCTCCTGGGAATGTTAAGGACCTTGGAAATCATTTTGGGTCCTTGACTTGAACTTTTTAATGATCTTTTCTTCTTTAAACGTGAATGTTTGGGCAATCACTTATTTTGGAATTAATCTGTAGAAATATGCTTTCACTTTGACATTAAATATTTATATTTTTATATTTTTTAAGGGAGGTGAAATTTATATTGACATTACTGATTTATAACAGCAATTAAGAAAAAAACATCCTAGACCAGTGGTTCCCAAACTTTTTATTTTCTGACCCACAAAATATCCATGGCAAAAACTTGTGACCCCAAATATTACTGGTTTGAGTACATGAACTTTGTTAATAACCCTAAAAACACAGGCTTTTTGACAATCTAAACAGCTTGCACACAAATATAAATACTTATTTATAC